TTCAAGTACAGGTTTTATCTTCTAGTGAGAGTCGCGACTTTGTTCTTAATCCAGTTACGAACAGGGTTATAGCCAAAGGGCTAAGTCCTCCATATATCATTCCCGAAGAGATTTCTCGAAATAGGGAATTGGACCTTCGAAATGAAAGTCATTAAGAAGATTGAAATTAAAGTTCCCTTAATAAAGTTAGCTCCCACCTCTGAGCCTTCTGATAAGATGTCTGAAGTACATTTGACTCCAAACCGCAGTAGTCCAGAAGATTGAGCGTTCCACGCACTTGGAAAGACTCTAACTCAGGGAGATGAAAGTTCTAGAGATCAGGTACTTTTTTTTACATACTACCTATATTTGGTCATATACAACAAACTTCAATTTCAAGATCCTTTTTCCCGAATATATAAGATTAAACGATCGGTAAAACCAATGTCGTTTCAAGCTATCCCAAATCCTTCAAAAGGTGATGTCAGAGTTTCTCACATTAACATCAGTCTCTCGAATACACCATCAGATGTCGAATTTTTAGATATGTCGCCTAGAACATGGAACACGAGTAGGCTTCTTTTTTTTGTTTATCTCTTCTTCTCTATTTTTTTAATATCTCCATCCTTTTTGTAGGTTTTCCAAGCATTCCTGAAGGATTGGATTTTTCTATGAATCCAAACTCTTTGCAAGATCAGACTGAGGAGAATGATGGTAGGATCGGTGTGCTTCAAGGAGTAGATGGTATTCATGACTTTCAAGGCCCACCTTTCAAATACTCGAGTGTGATTAATGAAGGCATTTCAGCATTCAACGTTGATGGTTTCCAAGATGAAGATGAAGTGAATTCTGAGACTAGGAGAGCTAACATTTACAGATTAATCAAGAAGTTCCAGCTGCTCTACCTTCATCGGCTTTAGTTTTCATTTCGCCTTTAAAAACAAATACTCATCGAGTAGCTCCAATTTGTTCTTCCATAGCCGGTCCCCCGCCTGGGATAACTCAAGAGTCTCCCTATTTGAAGGCTGCTTTGCAAGAATCCATGACTAATTATCTTCAGAAGTGTTTTAGGGACATC